AATTTGAAGAGATAACTTCCTGATGTCTTCTGAGAAGTTGTTAAGCAAAAAGTTGGCCACCTTTTGGGACGATTCAGTTTCAATTCATGAAACTGATCCTAGAACTCCGCGTTTTTTAGAAACCACTCATAAACGTCTAATCAGAATTAATTCGGAGTTGTGACCGAAATATGGACACTGGGGACTACAGGATGGTACACTAAAAGAACCGGAACATCAGAAAAAGTGGTCAATTCATGAAACTGATCCTAGAGCCCCGCGGATTTTTCAAACCACTTATAGACGTCTTATCAGAATGTATTTGGAGTTATGACCCTAATTTGGACTCTGGGGACTACATGCTGGTCCACCGGAAGATCTGGAACATCCGTAAAAGTGGTCAATGCATAAAACTGATCATAGAGCTACGCGGTTTTTTTCAAAACCAGTCATATACGTCTTGTCGGAATGTATGCGGAGTTGTGTTCAGAATAAAGAATATGGAGACTACAGGATGGTCCACTGGAAGATCCGGAACATCCCTAAAAGTGCTCAATTCATGAAATTGATCCTTAAGCTCCACGATTTTTTAGAAAACACTCATAGACATCTTATAACAATAAAATCGGAGTTTTGACCAGACAGTTTATACTGGAGACCACGGGATGGTCCATTAAAAGATCCGGAAGATCATTGCAAATGTTTAATTCATGAAACTGATCCTAGAGCTCCACGGTTGTTTTTTTTTTTTTCAAAACCACTCATAAATTAATATTAATAATAACTCAATAAGACGATGTTTTCAAATGGCTTATTGATTAAATTTTGATGTGATGGATTGAAAATATAAACGTTGAAGCTAGTCCCTCGTTAACTTGAAATTCAAATGAAACTTTTCCAAGAAGTCGAAGGAAATAAGTCCATTAAGTCCAAGGAATAATATTCAAAACTTCCATTTAAAGTGTCTAGAAATTATTAATTACTTAAATACCACCTAGAAATCATCCATGATAATAAATAACAAAAATGTGTCTATGAGCAGTTCTAAAAAAAACATAGAGTGCTTAGATCAGTTTTCTTGACCTATCCACTTTAATGGATGTTCCGGATATTCCGAAGAACCATCCAATGGACCCTGGGGTCCATTTTCCAGTCACAACTCCGAGTTCATTCTGATGAGTTGTCTATTATTTTCTAGAGGAGCGTTCATGGTCTCCAGGGTCTGTTTTCCGATCATAACTCCGAAGTCATAATTATAAGACGTCTATGAGAGATTACGAAAAAAAACGGAGTTCTTGGATCAGTTCCATGGATTGAGCCTTTTTACCGATGTTTCTGATCTTTCGGAGGACCATCCACTGCACAATAGTCCCAAAGCCGTATTTAGGAAGACAAAAATGTTTGCGCCCAAACCGTCAGCTTAAGGTATAAAGTGTCTTCGGGAAAGTTTCTTCATATTGTTTGGCCGATCTTTTTATGTTAGTGAAATTAGGGTGGTCCATAAAATTGGAGATTTGAAAATACATACTTTTTTTAATTATTTGAGAAAGACCAATGCAATGTTCTAAAAGTTGTAGAATAATCAATTCGAAGCAAATTTCTTTCTCTTATGGTTCATGAGTTATGATTTTTGAAACAAGCAGGTTAGAATGGCCCATAAAAAACAGATTTCTTCGAATATCTTTGCATAAGTTCATTTCTCTTAAAAACCTTGTTTTGGTTACATTAAGAACTTATGATGACGCATATTTTTGCTGAAGCAACCAGGCTGCTATCTTTTTTTATTATTAGAAAACTAATGGAGATTTTCTTCGAAAAAATGGTTCTATTAAAATGACAATGTCTCTAAATGGAGCAAACCGATTTTCAAACTTTCGATTTCAATTAAAAAATCGTGTTTTTTTTTCAGTATTTGTGGAAAAACTGTGAGAGCGTTTTTTGTTTAAAGTATTTAATTTAATTTAAAAAATCTTTTTTTTATCAAAAACTAGCCATAACTTTTAAATACAGGAGATTCAAATTAGTGACTTTTGCGAAAATATGCGTCATAAAAAGTTCTAAAAGTATTTAGAACAATGTTTTTACGAGAGGTTAGGGTGACCCCTAGAAAATCGGTTTTCTTTAAATATTGTTTAAACGTTGATCACCAATAAAAAAAAGATTTAAAGAAAGATTTTCTAGGGGCCACTCCAACCTACTTGTTTAAAATAACCATAAGTCATGAAATAAGAGATAAAAAATTGAGGCCATGAGCAAAGTTGGTTCAAATTGATTGTTCTACAACTTTTTAAAAAACTGCATTAGTCTATCTCAAGTAATAAAAAAAGGTTGAATTTTCAATTCACCAATTTTAAGGACCACCCTAATTTCAAATCGGCTAAAAAATACGAATAAGCTTTCCCCAAGACACCAGATACCAAAAAGTGATGGTTTTGGCGCTAATATTTTGTCTTCATAAATACGGCTTTTATGAATGTTCAGGATCTTCCTGGAGAACCATCTCATGGTCCCAAAGGTCCATTTTCCGTCTAAGCGTTCATATTCCGGTCACAACTCCAAATTCATTCTGATAAAACTTTTATGAGTGGTTTTGCAAACTCATGGAGCTATAGAATCAGTCTCATGAATTGACAACTTTTGCGGATGTTCCGGATCTTTCGGTGAACCATCCTGTAGTCCCCAGAGTCCAAATTCTAGTCGAGCTCTAGGATCAGATACATGAATTGACCACTTTTACGGATGTTCCGGATTTTCTTTTGAACCATCCTGTGGTCCCCACAGTCAATATTCAGGTCACAACTCTGAATTAATAAGAGTGTTTTCGGAAAATTCACGGAGTTCTAGGATGAGTTTCATGACTTTACCACTTTTACGGATGTTCCGGATCTTCCCGTGGACCATCTTGTAGTCCCCAGAGTCCATATTCCAGTCAAAACTCCGAATTAATTGTGATAAGACGTCCATGAGCGGTTTCGAAAAAAACACGGAGCTCAATGGCCACGGCGGATGTTTAATGAATTAACCACTTTTCAGGATGTTCCGGATCTTCCGGTGAACCATCTCATGGTCCCCAGAGTACATTTTCCAAACAAAACTCCGAATTTATTGTGATAAGACGTCTATGAGTGGTTTCAAGAAATCCGCGGAATTCTAGGATTAATTTCATGAATTGACTACTTTTACGGATGTTCCGGATCTTCCCGGTCCCAATTAGCTCTAATCCCATATGCTAAGCGTATTCGTTAATGCGGGATCGACCGTACTATCCAGTATTTTACGATCGCTAATGGCCGCCACAATCTGGCTGAGTTTCTGATAGGGAACATAAGATTTGAAGTTTGACTTGTGTCGTTTGACGTGTAAACGACCAAATTTGAAGGTTTACACGTCAAAAGACACAACCCAAACGTCAAATCATACGTTCCCTAGCAAAAACTCAGCCAGATTGTGGTGGCCATCAGCGCTCGTAAAATGCTGGATAGGAATCCAGTGGCATCAGTACTATAGGAATCCGGCAAGAACGAATCCGCACTATAGGAATCTTGACTGTATATGGCTATGGCAATGTTTTGGAGTCATAATTAAATACATACATATTTGTTATGTAATCTGTTACAGAAATGCCTTTGTCCAAAATTTTCTAATAATAAAAATAAGTTTTAAAATTTTTATTTCTAAATTAGATTTTTCATCTCAATGATTTTTCATTCAATTTCCATATGAGATCTTTAACTTCACGTAATTTTAAGTAAAATTATTACAATCAAACACCAAAAATTGAGTTGTAGATTTTTTTGTACACTAAGGCCATCCCAAATTAAAAAAAAAAATACCATACACGAACGATAACCCAAATGATTGAACTATTCCGCAAACAGTTTGGATGATACCCCTCGTTAAGCAAATTAACCATAACATTTTTATTTATTAACAAAAAAATTCAAAGTTTTTATCCCCTGGCTGTCTCGCGATTCGCGAGTTTGGAGTGACGTTTGACAAGCGGACAAAAAAACGCATTCGTACGAAAATGAGAATAGCACAACATCGTTCGAACGAACGATGTTCGAAAGTTAGAATTGCTTGGAACGAAAACGGGAATGGGAAAATGCTTTCGTTTCGAACGAATCCGGTTCGTACGAAAACGGGAATAGAGGTGCATGTTTTAAATGTTTTACAAGGGTGTTTACTTACAATACAAGTTTTCCACGTGTACGTTCTCCGTCGTATCGTAACAAATGTGTCTTTGTAGTAGCTATAATGAGTATATTTTATGTTTCCCTTGTTTATTAGGATTAATTCAATTATTGTACTTACAATTATGTGGAAAGAAAGAAATAAACGTATAATTTCACTACGAATAATATGTGCTTAATGTCGTTTTCGTTTTTACTACACTACACCGGTGTAGTGTAAGCAGCAATAAGTGCGAGTCATTGACAGTTCATCATCATTTGTTTGTAAACAAAGGTGCAACCGATAGCTACACCCTAAATTTTTTCGGTGTTCGGCAGTGTAGCACCGGTGTAGCTACACCGCAAAAACGAAAACGACATAAGATTTTAACGTGTTAGCTGGTTCACTTGTACTGTTTTGTGTTTCGTTCTATCGTTACCCTACTATGTCATTGTCGTTGTCTGTCAAGGAATGTCACTTTGGTCGCATTGATTCCTGCGGGAAAGTGCTGGCCCGTCTTGCCAACAGCTATTCATATTCAGAAGCATGGAGAGAGCAGTGGAGAAAGTCGGCAATCTGTTTCCTATTTTTTTTTTCGACATAACTAATTTCACTCACTAATACACTCTACATTTTTCGGTCACAAATTTTCTTGCATTGGACCACAGCTAGGTATATCGCATCCTCGGTTCATGCGGTCTCCACTAACATCCTGATGATGAATCCCACATAATTGTTAGCGAATCTTACATCCCCCGGTTGGGTGTATGCCTAACATATAAATGGCTTATGGTGTGTCGTCATATAAGATGAACACCTTTTTGTCAAATTCTTCTCGTAAAACTTACATCCTCTTCCTCCGGTACGGAAGTAATACAACCGATATGTCTGAAAAATATCCTCATTAGCACCAAAAGAGCAATTATTAGCTGCCGTAGTATCTTCAGTTAAGAAAATGTTCACCATCTAACGATCAACAAGCGACACGTGACTTGAAAACGGGCGAAGAAAGAGCCATCGCACCAGTTGGCGGTTCCAACGTGTTGCGAAAGTTTTCTGGCAAATGTGGTTGAAAATTTAATTTTAACCCACCCTCCCGTCACAATCGTTGGCACTGCCTTTACTGGCTCTAACCATGCGATTTCATCGGTTTCCATCGCACGCTCCGTTTGATAAGATCATTGAAATAAAAATCGTGTCTTGTTCATGACTCTACTGGGTATCTACACTGAGTTAATGAAAATCATACGAGCTCAATTAACGAAATAATAAAACGCGACCTAAACTGGCTAGAACCAAGTGGAAGATGTCGGCTAAAGGATAGCAAACATTTTAATATTTTCTTGTGCCGAGTACGACTGTTCTTCCCAATTTCTTTTGACAGAAGTTCGTTAGGGAAATTTGATTCTAGACTTGACACTTTTTTTTTTTTGCAGCCCTAGTGACTCCCGTAGTTTTCTTCTGTTGCCTGTGGTGTAGATTGTCACGCTACTCTGGCAGTCTGCGAAGAAGTGTCGCCCACCAGGAAACGTTTAATTTCCGCTTTGAAGAGTGTGCGGTTTTTTTTCCGGGGGAAACTTTTGTGAATGTCGCTCAAGGCATGTGGCTTCGGGGGAAACGAAATAAAATTTCCAACTCTACCAGCATTCAGCACTTTTTGACTCAAGTATTCTTTTATGACGCTGTGCTGCAGATGGGAAATAATAAAGTGTTGCTTCAACTTTGTCGCAATTTGGCTATATGGCACTTTTATGACTGCAGAATTGTTCACTTTATAGATCATTTCACAAAATTAGAAGCTACGAAGCTCGAACTGTATTTAATTAGAGATTTTCGAGCATGATAAAATTGAATACAGCAAAACTCAAAACCCACCTCTTTCTTTCCAGGTTCTGCTCACTCCGCCAGACGAAGGTCCCCGGGTGAAAGGACAACGAATCAAACTGCAGGATATCATCGACGGGGAATATGTTCCCAAGAAGCTTAACGGAAGCTGGATTGGGCGTAAGTTTTGATGGTACACATGTACCTATTTGTACTTTCTCGCTGCAAACGTACCACCTCATAGCATCATCAGACATAATCCGATGCTATCTTAACTTGGAGTTTGTTCCTACTTACCGTTATATTTTATTTTCATTTCTCTTGCAGCGGACGAGTTCCTGTACCAAAACCACTGGGGAGAAATCAGTTTGCTCAACATGAACAATCTTTCCGAGCGAATACTGATGTCCAATACGACACTGGTGAGTGAAGCTCGAGCTAGTGATAGTTTTGAGTTCGTTGCAATCTATCAAATATTCAAAACTTTTAAACCGAAACATTAATAGATTACATCATCGATCCCACGGCCAAGCTCGCTCATTATACATAGCTTCTTTTCTCGTGCTTTTTGCTTGATGGAGCTTCGCGATCCCTAGGTTGCGAATCGATGGAGGAACGTAGAATTTTTCATCCAAACAATTTCTTATAACTGTAAATCCCTACGTACAGCATCGTCTCACATCATAGTTTCGAATTTTTACACATTCCAACTAACAATTTTCGCAATGTAAACGCTTTACTCATTTCATTTATTTAGCCTCAAGCTGTATTCAAACGGTATACGATAAGAGGCAACCTTCACTCAACCTTTATACAAGCAAACCTGGCGAACTTAGTACTTATGGCTGTTGGAACGGTTGGGATAAGCTCTTATTGCATATCCATTTATGCCTCTATACAGCTGTCATTCTGTTGTTTAGTTGTGAGTGAACTTAACTTGAAAGGCACTTATTCAACCTTTTTCCGGTTATTCAATAACCACTACACAGCTTTCTCTTGAAGCCGGGTGAATCTAGACTAACATTTGAAAAGGGCGTAACTCCAAAATGACCATATCGAGAAAATCGCTTCCGAATTTTGATGACCTAAACATTAATCCATTGTCTGGATGAGTTTATAAGCTTGACATATAGTTAATAGTGTAATCTATCATCATGCATCACTAAAAACTCAAAACAAGAGTCAGTACGCCCTGAGAATTTCATACATGTTGTTACCTCCGGATCTTTCATCGTTTGAACTACCAACACTGGTGATACGCCGTGGAAATACACCCTTGGGATTTTTTGTCTTTGTCAAGCGTTTCGTCTTGGTTCTTCGTTCGCAAAATTTGTGAGAGTGGAATAACGTCCGGAGATTTTTTTTTTGGTCTTCTTTTTGGTCGTTGTTTACACGTGAAATATCAATCAGATGCAAATTAATCGGACGTGACTAGATACTACAGAATCAGTACGTTTGGCATATTAAAACAATATAATTCCTAGTTCTGGTGCAAGGCATCATAGAGTTGAAAAAGGCTGTCCATGAACTACGTAGACAGGAGGGGGGGGGACGGCCCATACAAATTTTAATTTTTTTTTTTATGGACAATTGTCTACGCAGGGGGAGGGGGGTCAAGAATCTAAATAAACTGTCTACGTAGTTTATGAACAGGCCCAAAGTTGGAAATACGCCATGTAAGAAGAATCGTTTTTGATGATTTGAAGTGATATTTTCTTCTACTTTTTCGTGTTTATCGAGTGGTTTGTGAACTGTTCTCTCTATATGTGGCATGATATGGTTTGTTTACATTTTGGATTACGCCCTTTTCAAATGTTAGTCTAGAAATACTATTTACAGTATACACTCAAAAAATTCCACACCTTTGATCGAAATGTTCAAACACTTGATTTTTTAAATGCACAATCTCGTTTACTTTAAGTGTATTTCACCTTGGTTCAATGTGTTACACACGTTAATGTAGTGTTTCAAACTTTGAAATGTTGAAAATCTTTCACTATCTATTCAAGTGTATTGCACATTGAATCACACTACTGTTAAAAACAGATGGATTTAAAGTGTTTTGCATTTCAATACGATGTGAAATGCTTGCTCAGAAAGGTAAACGTTGAAAACAAGACTTGTGACTTTATCCTATCAACCCGCCTCATATATGCAAACAACCGTGGCACAGTGAGATCGAACGAAGACTCCGGCAGCAGCACATCCCAACTATCCTTGATCGAATCCCAAATCAGAACCATTAAAAAAATATATCAAAGCTCTGGCCTCTGGCAGTTTTGTTTATATATTTCAGTGGCAACATTTTAAAGTGGCGTAATTGGTTTTGTAAACAATGGCTTTAGCTATCGATTTCTCGCAAATAAAAGTCCATTCCTCCAAATTAACAATGCTAGCTAGTAAAGGAAACATTCATCTACCTGCTGGTGTCAGTAATCTTCATGAGTATGTTTTAGTTCACGAGAAATCGACGGCTAAAGTCATTGTTTACAAATACAATTACGCCTCTTTGAAATGTTGACACTGATTTGTCGATTCATTTTTAGAGCTTGAGCTTGAGCTTGAGCTTGATTGACCGCCCAGGGTTGCTACTCTGTTACTGCCAGATCAGCTGTAATTACACAGCGAACCAATAGACGATGCTTGGGACTAGCAATCATCCTCAATGTGTAAAAACTGGTGATCTTAAATTAGGCAATACCAGCGCCGGCCGCGCCCGAACACAGGTCAAGAAAGGAATGGGAAAGATTGTGTTGACATGACACTCGCTTTGATGGAAGCCGAGAACACCTCTGCACTTCCACGAGGAATCACTGGGATGTTGGATAAGAGGGTTGGGTTTGCAGCAGGGTTCGTTTTGGTAAACGATAAGCTGAATTGATGTCCTAACAATCATATAACGCGAAGGAGCTTGGGACTAAACCCACGGTCTTCTGCTCAGTAAGCAAAAACGTTTGCCACTAGGCAGACGAGCTCCTTTTTAATCACCGAGTTGCTGTTATTACCATGTAGTCATATTAACAAATAAAACAATTGACGAATCTTGTATGTGGATGGGCCTGAGATTAGACTCATGATGTTCTGCTCAGTAAGCAAAAACGGTTGCTCTAAGGCCACCGAGTCCCTCATATCACATAATACCGTTGCTCAAATTTGTGTATCCATTCAAGCCCGAAACCAACGACAACAACGAGTTTCGCAAAATACACGATACACAAGCGATTTTACCATAAATCTCTTTGATATGTAAGGACCTGGGACCGCCTTTTTCTGCTCAGTAAGCAGGCCACTGTAACCGACGATCTTGCAAATCCGAAAACTAAAAACTACGAAAAAGTACTTAGGCCTTCATTAAGTTCCACTTTCACGCGACGTTCAATTACAGGGTCCTATCCAGGATTACATCTGAAAAATCCAAATCTGGCCAACGCCCACCCGAAACCTAAACCTGTTCTAATCCACCTGAAATGACTAACGAATGGAAGACTTTGACTACCCAGCCATGCAATAGTCTGATTCCGTGCCTTATGGCAACTTGATGATTCTATTGCGCTCATCTTTTGGCACCACCCAGAGGTGACTTGGTCCTCTACCCAATGCTTAACTTATCTCCATTCCACTCAGCTACTCGCAATTTCTTGTGATATAGTGGGCGGAATATTATTATATGAGACAATTCAATGCAGACGTCTTTCCAAATTTGGCAGATCGACAGGTAATCGGTGAGTTACCACGATAGTTGCTATTCAACAACTCGACAACGTCCCATCGGCAACGCCTGCTATGAGAATTTCCCATTGCAGACGCCAACGAAATGACGTCATCGAGCTATCGATTAACTACCCTGGTTATCACCTGGTACCTTATAGCACGATGCTAGGAGGCGAACCGGAAGAATCGATGAGCTACCTCTCCCCCCCCCCTCCCCCCATTTGTCGATTCATTTTTAGAGTCGGTAAAGTAGAAGTCAATAAAGTTGTAGAATATTGAACTATGATGTGCAAAGCTATTGATATCACCAAATGAGACACATAGAATCCAAGTGTGTCACAATTCAAATTCATAGTGTTCAGGCATGATTCATAGCATAAGATTCACACATGAAATGGAGGTGTATCTCAATAAGCGCAAAATTAAGTATGAGACACATGATGATGACGTTTGGAATTTTTTGAGTGTAGTGATGCCGGTGGTGTAGTGGTGAGCGTGATTGCCTCTCACCCCAGTCGGCGCTGCAAGGATTTTCTGAGGCATAAAATCTCTGATCACGCCTAAGCACCTAGTAAAGCCGTTGGTCCTCGGTTCATGAGTTGATGGGTCGATAGGTAGGGAGGGTCCAGGTGTCCTGGCGTCGGTAGCATTGGTACTCAGTATGGAAAACAAAATCGACGAAAAACAAATAATAAAAAAAATAATTAACTAGAATTAGGTTAAACGCTGATTAGCTGAACACCATTATACCGTATCGATTATTAGGTCGATTGTCGTTTAACCGAAACTGCATTTTCAGACATAGTTCGGCATATGTCATCGGTATTTTTGAAATTTGTATAACAATACAACATGTTTATAAATAAAGTATCGAGGGTGCCAGAACCTTTCAAATTTGCCTTCAAGTTTCAAGTTTTTTTTTCTAGTCGTTTTTAAATTAAGTTAATTTTAAGTCTTACATCATCTGATTTTCCACTCTTGGATCTATTTAATTTCCCTAGAAACCCCTAACAACATTTTTTTTTAATTTTTCCAAGAATTTTCTTAGTATCAAGTTTAAAGTTATCTCATTCAAATTATTGATAAAGATGACGGGAATCATGCTCAGGCTGTATATCGTGTCGTCAATCAGTGCAGTCGCGTTTTCAATTCGCTCTTAACCACGTGCGTTTTCGTGGTATTTATTTTTGCATACGCTACGCTTTTAGTCTTGTGTACTGTTTTTGTTCAAAATGAGTTGTGAAATTTGCTCACTTGATTCCTCCGTCGAAACGGTAATGTGGGAATGCGTCGGATGTACGCGCACATTTCATGCCGCCTGCGTGGGAGTGCCTGTAAAACGTGGTTCGCTTCGTAAAAATGACAAAAAGATTGACACTCAATCTTATGTCATACCGTGCTGCAGTTCGTGTCAAGTGCTAGTTACAATGAACTTTGACTTCAAATTGCTAATCGATCAGCAGGCGAAACTAACCGAAATAATAAATAATAACTCAGAAGTCACACATCGCTCCGCTCAGCAAAATAATGTTGATGTTGTGCATAAAGCGATCGATCACCTCGACACTCTGCTCACCAACATAAAAAAGAGCTGGCAGCGAATAAAAGCAGCGGTTCTACTGGAAATGTTATTGCCATTAAGAACCATATGACATCTCTAAATGATATGGCAATGCAGGCATCCAATAAAAGCATATCGACGTCATTACAAGCGATGACGTTAGGTATATCAAGTGACTTGAGATGTTTAAGCGATGAAGTTAATAAAATCTCAAGTCTCACTATGGACCTGACAACTAGTGCTCCAATGCGCAATAATCCAATGTTAGAGTTGGACATTCTGGACGAGCTGAAGTCATTATCAGCAAACATTATGACAGTACATAGTACTGCACCTTTGACTCTGTCTCCGGATTTGTGTCCCAGCCTGGACTCAGAAATAAACAATACAAATAAAAATAACAACAATAATGATGCCACTGACTCAGGATGGAGACTTCTTGGTACCCGGAAGGTGTGGAGACCAGATTGGACGGACTACGACGCTCGTGTATCGCGCCGCTTGAGTCAGCAAAAATTGGCTGACAAGGCTAAAAAATGGAGGAAGCAGAACACATCACGTCAAAATTTAGGCTACAACATCCGTAACAACAACATCCGTAATAACAACAACAACAACAACAACAACAACAACAACAACAACAACAACAACAACAACAACAACAACAACAACAACAACAACAACAACAACAACAACAGCAACAACAACAACAACTACAACAATAACAAAATCAACAACCAGCACCAAAATCAAAGCAGAAACGACAACTACGATGTTTACTTCTACAACAACAGTCGTAACAGGGATAATAGTGACATCAATCGCAGAAACATTGGACTGAATCGCGCCCACTTACTTCCGTCTGATAGAGAGCTTCTTGCAGTAGCGAAAGATCGCTTCTCCAGGCCACCGACTAATTATCGTCCAACGATGCAATTTCATCGAGGTGAAATTCTAAACCCATATCCGGAGAGCGAATCTCCATGTACCATTCCTGCGCCTAACCGGATGATTTCAGCTACTGCATGTGAGGCATGTTCAAGTTCATGCAGGCATTCGTGTTTTCGACTAAATTGACGAGTCATCTAGAGGAAAGTCCCAACGATGACAATGTTTTTGAAGAACTGGACAACTTTCACGATTTGACGACCTCTCGACAGCAGGAAGGAGAGGTAATTAATTTAAATAGTTTTAGTTTGCCGCCTAGTACTGAAGCACAAAATTTGGAATTGCATCGAATGCCAGTTCAGTAATGATGAAAGTAAGGAGTTGGTCATTTACTGTCAGAATTTTAATAGAATGAGAAGCGCCACCAAAGTGAATGAGATTTACAAGAAAGTTAATGCTTGCACTTTTCCTGTGATTTTAGGAACAGAAACAAGTTGGGATTCTAGTATTAATAACGAAGAAGTTTTTGGCGATCGTTTTAATGTTTATAGAGATGATCGCGATAAATTATTATCCAACAAAAAATGCGGTGGAGGTGTGTTAATAGCAGTTAGCGTGGAGTATGAATCTGAGCAAATTTCATCTTGCAAGAACAAGGAGTTTGACCATGTATGGGTCAAATTAATTATTGGTGATCGTGTTCATATTTTCGCGGTTGTGTATTTTCCACCAGAACATGCTAAAAAAAAAACATTTGAAAAATTTTTTGGTCTTGCTAGCAGTATTATGTCGGAATTCGAGGCTGAAGCAAACGTTCACATATACGGAGATTTTAATCAACGGGTAGCTAATTTTATTGTAGATGACGAAAATGAATCCATTTTGATTCCGATTATGGGGGAAAATGAAACACTTCATACTTTGATTGAAAAATGCGCAGAAATTGGATTGAATCAAGTAAATCATATAAAAAATCAAAATAACTGCTATTTAGATTTGCTATTTACTACCATGACTGACGATTTTTGCGTATCAGAGTCACCTTCTCCTCTTTGGAAAAATGAAGTGTTCCACACTGCTATTGAATATTCCATAATGATACTTGAAAAAACCGCAATGGTGGATAATAATTTGTCAGACCCCTATTTCGATTTCAGTAAGGCAGACTATGGAGCTATCAAAAATAAATTGAACAGTATAGATTGGCAACTTGTAATCCGTAGTCATGATACAGAACATGCAGTTGATGTATTCTATCAGATTATTTATTCTATTCTAGAACAGACAGTGCCCATGAAGCAAAAGAAAAAAGCCAATGCAAAAACACCAATATGGTACAATAGACAGATAATAAATCTTAGAAACAGAAAGCAGAAAGCTCATAAAGCGTACAAGAGAAACAAAAATGATGAAAATTTTACCTATTATCTTACTATTTGTGACCAACTTAATTTAGAAATTGAAAATGCATATGAAGAGCACAATAGAAAGATTGAAACTAACATTAAGTCAGACCCAAAATCCTTTTTTAACTATGTTAAAGAAAGGCAAAAATCCAAGAGCTTTCCATCCAAAATGCAATTAGACAGTAAGTTGGGCAATACTCCTAGTCAGATTAGTAACTTATTTGCTGACTTCTTTCAGGACGTTTATACAATTCATGATGAGAATGAGCGAGATTATCAATATTTTTCGTATCTCCCCGAGCCAATGAAGAACATCGCAGTGGATAATTTAACTCTCAAGGAAATTATACGTGGTCTTGAAACCTTGGATGCTTCAAAAGGTGCTGGACCGGATGGTTTACCACCTATTTTTTTAAAGTCACTTTCGAAGGAGCTAGCAAAACCTTTGTTCTGGCTGTTTAATTTATCCTTGGAGTCGAGTGTACTTCCTCCGATTTGGAAGGAATCATTTTTAATTCCAATTTTTAAAAGTGGTAAAAAGTCTGATGTAAAAAATTACCGTGGAGTTGCTATATTATCAAGCATTCCTAAATTATTCGAATCCATCATTAATGACAATGTATTCTTACAGATTAGGTCGGTAATTACTAGCAAACAGCACGGATTTGTTAAAGGACGATCTACAACTACCAACTTGATACATTTTGTGTCATACTGTTTAAACTCAATGGATAAAGGAAATTATGTAGAAACGCTATATACTGATTTCAGTAAAGCATTTGACAGAGTTGATATACCACTCTTGCTTTTTAAGCTATCCAAATTAGGCTTCAGTCCTAGGCTACTGAAATGGATCGAGTCGTACTTATCAAGGCAGACGCAAAAGGTAAGATTTGAAGGAAATCTGTCCACCATAGTTAATGTAACATCTGGTGTGCCACAAGGTTCACATCTTGGTCCATTACTGTTTATTTTATTTGTCAACGATATAGAACATATTTTTAAATTTCTTCATGTTTCTATATATGCTGATGACATGAAACTTTTCATGGAGATATCTAAAGCACCTGATCTTCAAATATTTCAACAAGAAATTGACGTTTTTTACACATGGTGTAAGAAAAATTTATTAGAACTAAATATTAATAAATGCAATTCTATATCGTTCACAAGAAAGCAAGCTGTAATACACGACACAATTACTCTTGGCCAGAAAACAATCCAAAGATCCTATCAAGTCAGAGACTTAGGTGTTATCCTCGACTCCAAGTTAACTTTTGCTGATCACTACAATAACATTATCTACAAAGCAAGCAACATGCTCGGGTTCATTAAAAGATTTAGTTTGCACTTCAATGATCCCTACACAATCAAAACACTTTACGTAGCATATGTGAGGCCTCTTCTCGAATATTGTAGCATAGTTTGGGCTCCATATCATGATACACATGTAAACCGCATTGAATCAGTTCAAAAGCAGTTCTTGTTGTTCGCTCTAAGAAAGTTGGGTTGGACGAGTTTTCCACTTCCATCTTATGAATCGCGTTGTATGCTAATTAATTTAGATGAGCTCAAAAAGCGAAGAGAGTTCGCAATGATTGCTTTTATAAACGATGTGATTTCGCAAAGAGTTAACAGTCCAGAGATTTTGGAAAATATCAATTTTTATGCTCCCACTCGCTCACTGCGGAATAGAAATTTGTTTAGCATCAACAATCAAAGAACAGACTATGCCAAAAAAAGCCCATTGAATAGAATGATGTCTTGCTATAATACATACTGTGAATATATTGACATAACAATGAATAAAAGTACGCTTAAAAAAACTTTCTTCACGAGGTTAGCTAGGCATCAATAATAAAATATAAATGCTATGCAAGTAATTGAAGTAAAATTGTAACAATTAGCGTTTAAGTAAAACTGTAAAACGGTCTACACTGATTGACGACTAATAAATAAATAAATAAATAACATTAGGAATAAAACCAGAATTAATTATTAACCAGAGTGGAAAAGCGATAAATTGGTTTTAAGAATTGAAATTATCTCTAGGGCTAAACATTTCTTTAGAATTCTAGTGAACATTGTCAATCTTTGAAGTGTCAGACTGTTGAAAAACAAGCTTATTATAAGAACTTTTAAAATATTCCAATATGTCAGATTCTTGGGAAAGTTTTAGAGTCATTGGAGTTTCATACAAGAGAAAAAATTCAAAGCTACAAATTGGATTTAAATAACAAAATATTTTAAAATTTTAAAATCTGAATAATAATATTCCGTCCTTCAACAAACACCAAGAATTATAAGAATTTTCGAGCGTGTAATTATCAAGAAAAAAAATGTTGTTTTTTTCGAGTTCACTGAAAAAATTAATTTAACTTCAATCTGATTCGGAAACTCAAACAAATGTGTAAGATAAACATTAGAAAAAAGTTGGCAAAAGCTAGTTAAACTAAAAATTTAAATTTTTTTCTAACGGGTGTTTAATAAAAAATGAGAATGATTTCAAAGCCGTCCAGCGCCCTTGTGGGAGCATCGCGACTAAGTTGCGTCGTACGGCTGACCAGGGCCCCTTCTCCAATATTCATTAACGTGTTTTGAAGAAAAAAAATTATGTTTTTAATTGAAAATTCGGAATTTGTTGAAAAAATTCTCATTTTTTATTTAACACCCGTTACACTCATGAAATCTAAAAAAAATTGTGGCAGAGCTGCCCCTGGCTACGCAGATTACAAGATCGCTGAGTAGAGGCTTTATAATAGTGCACATGAATCACTTTTCTCGACTTATTACTTCAGCTTTGTAAAGAAGCAAAATAAAAGCTGTAAAATTACACACATCTAAAATTAACCATAGTTGACTGTAAAAATGCTTCCAGCTATACACCTGAACCATACCACCCATCGACCGATCAGATCAACTCATGAACCGGCTTTACTTCCCTTCCTAAGGAAGGCGTGATCAGAGATGTTATGATTCAGAAAATCCCGGTGGCGCCGATTGGAATTGAACCCAGGCATTTTGGGGTGAGAGGCAATTACGCTTACCACTACACCACCGGCGCCGCTGTGCTTACAAAACAGCGCTAACACAGTTTATTAGCTGAAATGTTAAAACCAATAAATTCAAATGCAAATTTTAGCATATGGTAGCAGCACGGTATATCCTTCCAAGGATTGCTGAGGCGCTTCAAAAAAAACCTCATTCAAGTCCCCAAAGAACAACGGTTGGGTACCACTCGCTCAGATCATGGATTGCCTGGGATGAGACTCGTCGAAGAAAGGTCATATGAAGGTCCTGACGAACGGTTTGCAGAACGATCCAACTCACCTCAACCCTACCCTAACTCAGTTTTCGCACCGGCAAGATCAAGCGAGTCGGATTTTCATATTGTTTTTCTGACTGTAACCCTTCGCTCCCACCAGTACTCGTTAAGGCGACCTTCACATTCTCCTCCCCATTTCTCAAGACCGTCCTATGAACTTGACCTTCCCGATCCCGGGAAATTGTATAACCCTTAGCAGGAGAGTTATATACATTTAAATTTATATAAAATCTAAGTTACAAATATTAACAACAACCGTTACAATATTTCATCAGCTGTAAAAAGTGGGTCCTCCCTTAGATCAGCCGGCAAAGGTGCAGCTACAAAGTAAGACCATGCTGGAGATGGCTGGGTTGATTCCTAGTACCATCTAGGAAGTTTTCGGGTTGGAAAATTTCTCGACTTCCCTGGGCATAGAGTATGATTGTACTTGCCACACAAAAATGATACAGACATCGAATGCTCTCAATTAATAACTGTGGAAATACATCTAGTATCAATAAACTAATATGCGATAAGCAATATCCTCGCAACCAAAAGTTCCGCATTCAAC